CTGTGGCTCTTCTCACCCTGCCCTCTCCCCTAAACCTCTCCAGCTCACGGGCTCTTTCCGATACTATTTCAGCTAATCTCTCTCTTTTGTCTTCCCCTCTTGCCCCTCTCTCTTGGTCTCCTTTACCCCCACACTTTGTCGACATGTCTCTTGCTCCCCCACCCCACCCCCTTACTCTGAGGATCTGGCTCAGTCTATTGGCCATGTTCAGTGTGTTACTTTCTCTCTCCACCCTGGATGCCTCTGGCTGTACTCACCTCACATCTACAATAAAAACCTTCCCCTCAATCATACCTTGAAGCAGTCAGGTCCTCAGCTTATACAATGTAAACATTAAATATTACAGCGGTAGCGGTTCATATAGATGTTCCCCCCCATTTGAGATCATTATTAAACATGTATATCACAGCTGAACAGAAATATCCTGCCATGAGCTAAGCCCTTCCAGAGATGAAAAGTAAATGCAAATTACCTAAGGAAGAAAGAAGTCTATAAAATAACACGTATGCTACTATTTTTTGTATGAAAAAATGTATATGCATGGAAAATACTAGAAATATCTTCAACAAATGTTAGTTGGTTGGCAGTTATCTTTAGATTGTGCGATTTGGGTTGGTCCCCCCACCCCACCCCCAGGAGTGTGTTTCTGTTCTTTAGTGTTTCTTCATTGAGCATAGAAACTGGACACCCCCACCCAAATGTTATTAGATAAAAAATGATGCTTGGGTTCACTCTATCAGATGGCTAATTTTTAAAGAATGCTTTGATAACTGTGCCAATCTTTTCATATGAGTCTACCAAGGTAGGCAGCTGCTGGCATAGGAAGTCCTTCCGTCCCTCCTTCAGTCCCTCGATCCCTCTCCTCATCTGTTCCTGCCGGAGCTGTCCATCCCTTTTAGTCTCCTGCTCAGTTAGGCTGTCTTTCTGGAATCTAACACTTGTTTGATGGCTCACTCCCCAAATAGCCTGTTGTCAAGATTTTAAGTACTCTGAGAACAAAGCATGCTGTGGACTTCAAGGTTTCTCACGGAAGAGGGCTGTCTCAGAGACCTCAACACAAGTTGTGAAAGGAGGGTCATTCGAAGACCCGCCAAAGAGGGCAGTGAAAAAGGAGAGAGATGGGATTGACCAAGAACTGTCCGAAGAACTCAAGGGGGCAGAAAGAAGGAAGAGAAGAGTGGAGGCCCAATTCCAGCCTCTGTGTCGCTCTGCACACGTGGTTTCAGCAGAGACTTTGGGGAGCCGCTGAACACAGCTTCTGAGTGACAGCCATGATGCTTTCCTGTGTGCCTGGAGAGAGTCAGACCGCACGTCTCGGAAAGCAGAGAACTCGCCATGCTGAGTTCTCAAGACAGAGGGGCTGAGGGTGCATTATAGGCTCTCGAAAACAGCCCAGTGGCAGGAGAAGAAGACAGGGCGATTTCAAAGCTTAAATCTGCAATGTTAGGCAGGAAGCGCCTTCCCTGGCTTCTGAATTTTCAGGGCTTTACTGTGACCTTTCATTCTTCCTACCCTGAACTAAATCTCCTTTTCCTTCAGATTTGTTCATTTTTATGTGTATGAGTGCTTTGCCTCAATGTATATCTGGACACCAGGTGCATATCTAGTGCCTGCCTGCAAAAGCCAGAAGAAAGTATAGGATCCCCTAGAACTGGACTCATGGATGGTTGTGAACTGCCATGTGGCTGACGGGAACTGAACCGTGGTCCTCTGCAAAAGCAGCAAGTGCTCTTAGCCACTGAGCCATCTCTCTAGTCCCTTTAAAATCTTGTGTGTGTGTGTGTGTGTGTGTGTGTGTGTGTGTGTGTGTGTGTGTGTGAGAGAGAGAGAGAGAGAGAGAGAGAGAGAGAGAGAGAGAGAGAGAGAGAGAGAGAGAGAGAGAGCAGGATATTACATCATCAGGACTCTCCTGGAACTCACAATCCTCCTGCCTCAGCTACTTAGTGCTGGATTAAGGGCAACCCCACCCAGCACTCAATCCACCTTTCTTCTTTAGACTAATTTGTCCTTCTGAGAGAAGCCTAGGTGTTGCTTTTTTGTTGAACGTCGTGTTCATCTGTATGATCTGTTTCTATTGACTTCCTGCAGGTGAGAGCTGGGTCATCTTCATCTCCACATCCATCTGTGAAGACCTGGTATTAAATATTGCCCAGGCTATATAGACTGAAGAGTTCAGACTTTCTTGTTCCTACCACATTCATTTCCGTCTCATAGGTGAGCGACCTTTTTCAGCAAGAGCTGAGTTTGAGTCATTGTCCAACCTTGTCGAAAGCTTCCAGAGATGAAAGCTTCTTCTAGAACCACCAAAGGAACATCCATCAGCACCATCCCAACCACATCCTGCTCAGGGCTCTGCCAGGAGGCAGCAGTTCCTTAGTTTGGAAGCAGTCCCCAAGTCAGTTCTGCTTCCAGCACTAGCTTGGACTGCCAAACCCTTGGCATCCCCGTAATGCAGAGCACCAGCCCGCTCACTTCTCCAGAAAGCACTCTACTGCGTTCAACAAGGCTAGAGTAAAAAAAAAAAATTTTTTTTTGTTTTATCTTTTACATTTATTTATTGTGGGGGCTGTCATGTGTCACAGTCAGAGGACAGAGGACAATTTACAGGAGTGTTTGTCTGTTTGGTGAGTCCTAGGGATCGAACTCACGTTGTCAGACCTGGCTTCAAGACCTGGCACCTTAACTACTGAGCCCTTAGGGTGAAGAATTTTAAAGCAGTCACTTCCTTGCAAGTGATAGGTCCTGGGGTAAGACCTTTCTCTCCACGGGAGTCCACCCTTACCCTCTGCTGCACAGCTTTCTCACCATGACTAAATGGAGAAGACACTTGGAGTAGTTTGAAAGAAAATGGCCCCCAAAGGGAGTGGCACTACTAGGAGGTGTGGCCTTGTTGGAGGAAGTGTGTCACTGTGTGTGTGTGTGGGCGGGCTCTGAGGTCTCTTTTGTTCAAGCTTCCCTCAGTGTCACTGCCAATTGACTTCCTGTGGCCTGCATGTCAAGATGTAGCAGTACCACGTGTTTGCCTGCAAGCTGCCATGCTCCCCACCATGATAATGGACTGAACCTCTGAAACTATAAGCGAGCCACCCTATTGTGGGATTTATGTATTTATTTATCTTTTATTTATTTAGGTTTTTTGAGACAGGGTTTCTCTGTGTAGTTTTGGTGCCTGTCCTGGATCTCGCACTGTAGACCAGACTGGCCTTGAACTCACAGAGATCTGTCTGGTTCTGCCTCCCAAGTGCTGGGATTAAAGAAGTGCACCGACCAGCCTTTTTGTGGGATTTATTAAGGCAGCTCCACGTAGTTAAAAGGGAGGTTTATTTTGGGGTAACTTACAAGAAGTAAAGGGATTGGTTATAAGATCCGGGAGAGGTGAAGTGCAGTCCAGTGGTGTTCTCTGGAGAACTCTGCTCGGTCTACCATCTAGCATCCAGGATTACCAGGAACCAAGAGAGCCGGCACATCCAGATCTCGGGTCTTAAGGGCTCCCCGTCTTGGTCCTGCCTCAGGGGCAGGTCATAGGTAGGCGTGACAGTTACCAGAAGCCTCACTGGGGGTAGTACTTCCAGATCAAAGCTGTACCACCCCAACTAAATGTTTTCTTTGTAAGAGTTGCCCTGGTCATGGTGTCTCTTCACAGCAATAGAAACCCTAAGACAGCATTCCCTGAGACTCTGCGCTCAGGGCTAGAGCTAACCCACAGTACACTTTTTCTTACTATGTCAGCTGGTTCTGCTTTGAAGAAGTAATTTACTGACCTCCAGCAAGCTGTCTATGTTCCTTAAGCCCAGCCTAAAAAAGACATGTGAATAAGGCTAACCTTGGAGTCAGCCTGGCCTGGGCTTGCCCTTGACCTGATCTGAACATCCCAGCACTTTGGGCCAGAGCAGCACCAAAGTTCCCAATGTAAGGTCACAAGGGCCAGAAGAGATTCAAAAGCACAGGTAGGGGTAAGGGGATATGGGGTGGGGTGGGAGGTGTGTGTGTGGATCTTCCTGAATGCTTATTATGTATGAGTTTTTATTCTCTCCTGGCTTCTTTACAATTAGCTTGCAAAGCTGTGTGAACAGACGACTTTGTGAACAGAGATCACGAAGCCTAGAGACCAATTATAGGAACTATAGCCTCCCGCAGCATTTCCTTGGAAGATTCATCAAATTAAGCCCTGAGCTGCATTCTGGCTCGATATAGAGCCGCCATAGAACGAGAATGATTCACCAAACAAACTTCTGTCTTTGGGTTTCGGGTGCTTCATTTAACTGGTTTATGTCTCCGAGTAAAGCTATTATAATGACATTATCCACCTAATGAGCAATGGTGCAATCTTTCCCAGTGGCAATCTCCAGAATTATGCCGAGTTTAAGAGCCACCATGACTGCAGGGAATAGTCACTAATTTTTCTATTGCAAACACTGTGATCATATTCAAAACGAATAGATGTAATTATTTTGGTATTTTTTCAAACATTTAATTTTTTTAATAAATCATAACTCCCCAAAGAAATAAGTACAGTTCATTAGCAGTGCTAATGAAAATGTCATCTTTAGTAAAAACTTACCCAGAATATCATTCCCTGGAGCAAGATTTCCAGGAGCTTTGTTTGCCAAGTTTATTAATGAAAACTTTGTGCTGTGAATCAATACATTAAATATAAAACAGAAAAACAGAGAGGGGGAGGGAGAGAGAGCATTAATCTAGACAAGTAATTATATGTACTTTTTTATTATGGTTCTAAAAATAGTGTCACAAACTTTCAGGGATATGGAGTCTCTGCTTTTAAAAATAAACTGGCATAAAAAGGTATCAGTAGCCAGGCGGTGGTGGCGCACGCCTTTAATCCCAGCACTCGGGAGGCAGAGGCAGGTGGATCTCTGTGAGTTCGAGGCCAGCCTGGTCTCCAAAGCGAATTCCAGGAAAGGCGCAAAGCTACACAGAGAAACCTTGTCTTGAAAAAAAACCAAAAAAAAAAAAAAAAAAAAGGTATCAGTAGTAAACCTTTTTTAAAAATTGTTTTATTATCTTATGTGTATGGGTGTTTTGTCTGCATGTGTGTCTGTGTACCGCGTGCATATCTGGTGCTCAGGGAGGTCAGAAGATGGCATCAGATCATCTGGAACTGGAGTTATGAATCATGGTGAGCCTCTTTGTAGGTGCTGGGAATCAAACCCGGGTCCTCTGGAAGATCAGCCAGTGTTCTTCACTGCTGAGCCATCTCTCCAGCCCCTATTAGCAGTATTTCTTTGGGGCACATTATAGTCATACTGAGGACATCTTCATACACATGCAAATGAGGGAACTTCGAAGAAGTTTGAAGTCAATCCTTTCCATGCTATAGACCATAATAAGCACAGAATCAAGATTTGAACTGCCAGATATCTGCCAAGGTATCAGCTATGTGGTATCCTGGTTTTCTCCTTGAACTGAACTATCCTACAGAAGTGTAATGTATCCTAGTGTCTGGCTCATAATAGATGCATAATCTATATCAGTTAAGCGAAGGACCCGAAGAATGAGGCGTTTATCGAAGTAGCTGACTAAGCAGTTCTTCTGTTCTAATTCTCATGTTTGCCCTTTTAAGAAAGTTTTTAATGTCATTATTGAAATAAGCAGTGGTCACCTGGATGAGAATAAATCAAGGCTGTTATTAGGCAGAGCCTGTGTTAGCAAGGGGCAGGGCCACTATCACTTGCATTTGACGGAGGAAATAGAAGCCGCAAAGCTGGCTGGGAATGGAGAAGCCCCACAGCACAACAAAGAGAAGGAAAGAGGAGCTCCTCAGGTATGTTCCCTTAGGCCATTTTGACATGACAGAGCCATGCCAAGCCAGCGGAGGTGGGACTTGGGAGGCATATTTAATTTTCTGTTGTCTCCAGTTAGAAGCCAGGGCATACATTAGGAAAGAGGCAGCCATGATGTGAGCCCTGACGCCCCACAGCCAGCTGCTGTGGAAGTTGAGGTTTCTCTTCCCAGGCTTGTTGCTTCAGAGAAAGGTTATGGCTCAGAGTCCTGTTGGCACATCTGGTCTAGTCAGTGCCCACAGGCATATTCAGGCCATCATCATATATCTCAGCCAGTTTTTCAAACGGCCTCTTTATCCCAAGCCACATGAGCACCTCAAAATGGAATGGCCTTCGAAGGGATTTACCAATCTATTAAAATGCACTCCAAGTTGAATATGGTGGTGTATTATCTGTAATTCCAGAACTTGGGAGGCTGACACAGGAGGATTGCACGTTCAAGGCTAAGACTGAGCTACGCAGCCGTAGTGTCTCAAAATTTAAAAAGAAAGAAAGGGAGTCTGTTTTTAGTGGGTATGGGAGGAATGGGAACAGAGGATGATTTTTTTTGGTATGTATATGTGCTTCTTAAACTGCCATAGTAATTTTTATTTTAATCTCTGTACGTATGTATGTGTTATGATGCCCCCCCCACACACACACACACACACACACAGAGAGAGAGAGAGAGAGAGAGAGAGAGAGAGAGAGAGAGAGAGAGAGAGAGAATCCTTACCTTCCATCACATCCGTTTGCTATTGCTTTATATCAGGCTGCTCTCCAGGGATGCTCTTGTCTCTGGCTCCCATCTCTCCTGTAGAGACACTGGGATTACAGACATGTGCTAGTCCTGTGTCTGGTTTTACATAGGTTCTGAGATCTGAACTAGGTCAAGCTTCTGTCTTTGGAGGAAGTGGAGGGTGTCACCTGAATCAGTGGGAACATGGGCATCTTGCTTTTCTTTATACAGATGTTCCACCATTTCCTTGGTTTCCGCCCTCACCTCAACATGCTCTAAATTCCCCCAGCTTCCTTAAATTCCCCCAACTTCCTTGGAATGTGGGACTGTCATTCCCACAACTACCTGACTTTTCTGGGCTTAAACATTTAACTAAGAAATATTTCAAATCTTCACAAAAGTACTCAGAATAGAACAGACCATTTTGTATTTATCACACATAGTGTGTGTAGCACACAGTAAATTTATGATTTAATGCTTTTTTTTGCAATTGCACAGTGGGATAAAGGCAGCATATGTATTTTGAATTTTGATTTTTTTCCCCCTAACTCAGTAATGCTCCTGCAATACAATACAATTTTAATTGTACTGCTGTAGTTTCTGGTCAGCCATGTCATTAAGAGGATAAATCGCTCATATTCCTTGTTGTTGTTATTTTTCTGGAGGTGGGTATTCAGTAAATTATGATACATTCAACCCTTTACTATAAAATAGGCTTTGTGTTCAATTATTTTGCCCACTATAGTGTAATAGAAGGGTTTTAGGCATGTTTAATGTAAGTTAATTAGACCAAGCTATGTTCAGTAACAGAAGTATTTGAATGCAGTTGGGGGATATTTTTATAACCCCATCATAAGATGAGAGAAATCCACACACACATCCTTTGTGCATGTGTATGAGTGTGTGTGTGTATGAGTGTGTGTGTATGAGTGTGTGTATGAGTGTGTGTATGTGTGTGTGTGTGTGTGTGTAAAATTCTTCTCTACCACTTCTTTTTTAAACTGCAGTTTTCATTCTTTCAACCCCTAACCTAGACACATCAATTTACCAATATTTCATCTACTTTGCATTTTTTTTTTTTGAGACAGGGTTTCTCTGTGTAGCCCTGGCTGTCCTGGAACTCACTATGTAGACCAGGATAGCTTCGAACTCAGAGATCAGCCTGCCTCTGCCTCCCAAGAGCTGGGTAGGATTTGAGGCGTGTGCCACCACGGCATCTTATTAGAGTTGAAAACTCATATTTTCACCGAGGTTGGAGGAACAACCTTTTTCTTGTTCTAATATTTGGAGAATGATTTCTGAGGAAAAGAAAAGAGAACAAAGATAGTTTTATGATGCTTCCTTAAACCCGGACCCCTCTTAATTATGATGTTAGCGTTTCTTTCTTTCTTTAAAATTTTTTTTCTAATCGATGGATTGATTGATGACAGTTCAGGATGGGGAAGGAGCCTCACATGTTCCACAGCACAGATGTGGTGGTCAGAAGACAGCCTGTGGGAGAAGACCCAGATGTGGGAGTCAGTTCTTTCCTCGCACCATGTGGGTCCCAGGGATGCAATCAGGTCGTTAGGCTTGGAGGCAAGCTCCTTTGCCCAATGAGCCATCTTGCTGGCCTGAGGTTTTCTTATTAAATATTTCTCTTCTTTCTTATTCTTATTTTATTCACCATCATGAGTAGTGTGTAATGTCCCCTTTAAAATGATTGATTTATAATTGTTGTTACCTTTATTCCCTCATTCTCCTCGGGTGGGGCTTTATTTGTGTGCTAATTCATAATCTGGAGTGATATCTATCTTGGGAAAATTTTTCTGACTTTTTTGTTTGTTTGTTTGTTTGTTTGAGACAGGGTTTCACTGTGTAGCCCTGACTGTCCCGAAACTCACTCTGTAGACTAGGCTGGCTCGAACTCACAGAGATCCACCTGCCTCTGCCTCCGCTATGATGTTTTGAAAGAATTTCTAGAAAGTTTTTTTTTTCCTTTATTTCAACTGTAGCTTGACTTATTTATAAAAAGTAGAGGATATTTTAATTACAAATATCTCAGTTGGTAAAACTATTTTGGAAAGAAATGAATATACATTCAAAGGAAGTTTAAATAGCAAGTAAGATTGAAATGATTTGCCGTCTTTCCTGTCCTTAGGAGTGTAAAATGACAGGGAATAATAAAGTTATTCAAAATGAAAACCAGGAAAATTATAGCTCTCGTGAGTGCTACTTCCCCAGATGAGAGGCTGCCATGGGAAGCCGTTTTTTTAGAAAGCTCTGACTGTCTTCCATCCCAAAAATGTTCCGTCACATGGTTCAGTCCACACACATTCCATTATGAAAAATCTTTTAACTTCTTTTGGTTTATCTGAGTTCTGTTATGCCCCATATCAGAAACAAAATACAAATAACTTCATAACGGTCTAATAACATTTATTCAAATTTCAATTAAGTCTGTGTTCTCTGACTATAAAAAGATAATCTGATTGAGGAGCCTTACACAGAGCCTTCCTGGAAGAGACACTGCTAATCCTCTTGGCAAAGGGTGGGGTGAAGAGGCCTTCTCGAGGAAGGAGATTTTAGTATGATCCTGGGGGCTCCAATATAAGACCTACAGTTCTTTCAATATGAAGAGTCCTTTCAAAGCTGAAGTCCAACTTGCCTAAACTGAGAGATGCAGCATCAGAAAACAGCTGCATCTCCGCAGCCCAAGGCTGATTACTCGGAAACGCCAACAGCTTTCTGCTACCCGGGAAAGTCCTTCGGTAATTGTGTGTGATGCTGACTGGGAGCTCTCCTGGATTTACAAGTCCTGCTGTCAAACAAAGGATGGGCCCCGGGTGGTACCTAAGGGCTTCATCAAGTTGAACATCTCAGTATCTAGAAAAACCTCACCACTATACTCAAGGATGCCTGCCAGGAAAACGGAAGAGGAAACTATACAGTGTTTCCTTTATTTACTTTTACTTTGTAAACATGTGTAGGTGCTTTGCTTGCATGTATGCCTGTTTACCATCTGTGTGTCTGGTGCCCACAGAGTCCGGAAGAGGACTGGATCCCCTGGAACTGGAACTGGAGTTACAGTTGTGAGTCACCATGTGGATGCTGAGACTCGAATCTGGGTCCTCTGGAAGAGCTGCCAGTGTTCTTAGTGCACTGAGCCATCTCTGCAGCCCCAGGATATTTTAAAAATAAACATTTGCCTTGAAAAAAACAAAACAAGGGGTGGGGGATTTAGCTCATTGGTAGAGCGTTTTGCCTAGCAGCAAGTGCAAGGCCCTGAGTTTGGTCCTCAGCTCTGAGAAAAGACAAAAACAAAAACACAAAAAACAAAAACAAACAAACAAACAAAAAACCAAACAGACGAAACAAAACAAGGGGCTGGAGAGATGGCTCAGTGTTTAAGAGCACTGGCTGCTCTTCCAGGGGACCCGGGTTCAATTCCAGCACCCACATGGCAGCTCACAACTGTCTGTAACTCTAGTTCCAGGGGATCTGACACCTTCATACCAACGCACATAAAATAAATTTAAATAAATTATAAAAAAAAGAAAAAAACAACAGCAAAGCCCTAACTCATTTAGTCATAGCACATAAACAGGTTTATTTCTTTGAGGTAAGAGGCAATGTTCCCATTTCCTGTTGCATCAAAATTGTCTCCACTGTTAACGGCATTGAGATAGAAATACACAACAGACTAGCCTATCACCTGTTTTTGTTGTTTTGTTTATTTGGTTGCTTTTTGGTGTTTTTGAGACAGGGTCTCACTGTGTAGCTCCAGCTGGCCTGAAGCTTGCTGTGTAGCCTCAAACTCAAGAGAGATCCACCTGCCTCTGCCTCTGCTGAAAGCCATGTGTTTTATTTGCTCTAGGTCTCTCAGTCTCTGTTTTCCTCACCTCCAGTTTCTCTGTCTTTCTACCCATCTCTGTTCCCCTTTAGTTGTGTATACTACCCTCTCCCCTCTATACGCACACATACACTTTTTGGTTTTGCTTTTTTTTTTTTTTTTTTTTGGTTTTTTTGAGACAGGGTTTCTCTGTGTAGCTTTGCGCCTTTTCCTGGATCTCGCTCTGTAGACCAGGCTGGCCTTGAACTCACAAAGATCCACCCGCCTCTGCCTCCCGAGTGCTGGGATTAAAGGCGTGCGCCACCACCGCCCGGCTTGGTTTTGCTTTTAATTTACGGAGAGGTCAAGCTGAAGCGAGGCAAAGTAGATTCATGAAAAACAACTGACGCTCAGTCCCATTGTAACCCAGCTATGGTGCCCTAAAATAACACCTTTCTTCCTTGGTACCCTCCTCTGCAAAGTGGGAGAGCATAACCACGATTCTTAGGTTGCTGCGAGACTAAAGTAAATCTACCTTTCAACACTATAAGAAGTTCTGCCCCAGTTTAAGGGATACAGGTTAATATCGAATCCAAGAGTGTGCAACAATATATAGAACCTTGGTGATTCCCCATTTAAAAAGTCTGAGTTTGATGCCTGGATTGCCTACTGAAGAGATGGGCAACTGCCCACATTTTGAATGGAACTGGTTTCACTGTGTAGTTTTTATTCTGGTAATTCTCTGTGATGGATAATTTTTTTTTTTTTCCAAGACAGGGTTTCTCTGTGTAACAGCCCTGGCTGTCCTCGAACTGGCTCTGTAGACCAGGCTGGCCTCTAACTCACAGAGATCCCCCTGCTTCTGCCTCGCGAGTGCTGGGATCAAAGGCGTGCGTCACCACACCCAGCTGTGATGATCAATTTTAATCATCAGCTTGATACAATCTAGACTCACCTGAGAAATGATTCTCAGGGAGGGATTGCCTCTATCAGGTTGGCCTATGGTCACATCTGTGAGAGATTGTCTTAAGTTGTGAGAAGACCCAGGGTGGTTCCTTTCCCTGGGCTGGGAGCTCTGATTGTGTAAGTGTAGAGAGCAAACTGAGTACTAAGGAGCAGGCCTGTGCTCACTCTCTGCTCTTGATCTGAGTGTGACCAGCTCCTTCAAGTTCCTGAGTTTGGCTTCCCTGAAATGTAAACCAGTAAATACTCCTATGAGATCTAAGTTTTCTTTCTTTTTTCTTTTTTTGGTCCATGTATGTTATCACAATTTAAAAAAAAAAAAAGTGAAATTAGAACATTATCCATGAGAACGAGGCCAGGCTTGGTATCATCTAAACTGGGTAGACTGGATTCTTGATATAGATGAAATGATACTAATAGCATTTTAGTGTTCAGCAGGGACTGAAGTTGCAAGGGCTTACAACTGTGGCCACAGAGCTTCAGTCTCTGGTCCTGGCTGTCTAGCCCTTTATGTGAAGGAGGCCCCGCTGAGTGCATTCAGCAACTTTCTCATGGGACATTCCCAGCACCTTTTGGAATTCTGGAACATTAGACCAAGCACGTTAGGGAAGAACTTGCAGTATCTACATACCTTTCATCCACTGGTTGAATTTCTGTCCCATGAACACATAGAATAAGCCTGTTTGAAGACCGAAGTCAAGCTCCCTGGAGCTCTCTTTTCCCAGGGAAATGGCCCTCGATGGAGTAACTGCTTCTCTGAAATAAGGTTGCAGGAACACAATTGTTCTGGTTACACTCTTTTTTGTAGACCCTGGTTTGTCTTAGTCCCTCTTAAAGTGTTCTACCAAGATATGCCTCCCTGGCTTTCATGGCAGTCCTACCATCAGTTGACATGAGGCTACACGCTACTCTCAGTCACTGTACATTGTAGAGGACACTGGTTCTTCAGGCCATGCCTACCCCAAGAGACTTTTTTTTTTTAAGACAGGGTCTCACTATGTTTAGCCCTATCAGCAAGGGTCCTAGCTGGTCTCAAACTCACAGAGCTCTATCTGCCTCTGGCTCTGGCATGCTATGATTAAAGGCATGCACCACCATGTCCAGCTCCATTTTGAATTAGGATGACTGAGGAAGCCCTTGTGTGGACTCAGAAACTGTACCCTCTGTCACCACCACCCATCCATCCCAAACTGATAAGTGATTTCTTCCTGGGAGTAGAAAGGAGCCACCCTATAAGTTGATGGGAATAAACCCAGACTGTAGAGTCATATGGGCATATTAAAACTCTACCAGGGAAACCAGGAAACCAGGTTCAAGAATGTATCAGACATGCCAGGCCTAGGAAAGGTGTATCACGCATAAAGTGGTGGATACCTAACACTTCAATGGCATGGCCACACAGCAACCTATCATCTGATACCTGGTGTAAGTGTGTGTGTGTGTGTGTGTGTGTGTGTGTGTGTGTGTGTGTGTGTGTAGAGAGAGAGAGAGAGAGAGAGAGAGAGAGAGAGAGAGAGAGAGAGAGAGGATTAAGAAGCGGTGGGGGGGGGGAGGTGGGGGGGAGGAGGAGGGAGCCTCGGAGAGAGGGCTCCCTGACTCCTGGAGCTTGGACCCAGCTCAGTACTCTGCTGTCAATGCAGACTACTGGACTGCCTGCCCATCCATCCGTTTGCCCTTTTGGACCCGACTTTTGCTTTCCTGCTCCTGACTCATACTTAGTGACTGAACTTTGCAGCTTTGCTCCCAAGCCTGATCCCTGCAGCTCCCTCCTGGCACTAGTCTGGTTCATGATCTTATCAATTCCAGATTCGTCCTCAGCCCACTTCTGAAACCTTTTGAACTCTGCTGTAGCCTCTTTAACTAGCAGTCACTCTGCAATCTACTTATCTGCATATAGATATACAGATATATTTATTGTGTGCGATATGTTAGCATTAGTAACTAAGACTGGAATAAAAGAAGCTACATCATCACTCTGGGCAGGTACATCACGTGACAGACACACTGCTGCCATCGAAACGGCTGAACCTTGTGAATTTATTATTATTCAATACATTCTGACACTGTGGAAAGATCGAAGTGTGTCTATCCATGTTTCTGGCTCAGTGTGCTTGTGACACTACCTGCGGTCACCTTCACCACTCCTCACACTATTCTTCTCACAACGTAAAGTGACACAAGCCTTCCTGACAGCATCACTTCCTTTCTGTTTGTGACTTGTCTTGGCCCAGCCAGTGGATTGCTACTCGCTGGCCGGAGCGCTAACTCTGCCGTAGAGTCTGGCAGGATCTGTACAGCTTTGCAGAGGACAGGCTGGGGGCTCTGGGTGGGAAGAGAAAGCTAGATGCTGAGCTGCAAAGGTAGCCTGGGGAGGAGGATGGCTGGGAAAGAAGGCTTGAACCTGAAAGGTAATACTCTTTCCGATCACACATCGGCCATAGCAGTGAAAGAAAGGGAAGTTTGCCTTTCCCTGTGGCCCTTTGATGTCTAAGGCTTTTAAACTAGTCAACAGAAAGGTTAACTTGAAAACTTTGTGGTCAGATTGAACTTCTTTCATTTGCGTGTTTGTGGGTATACATGTGCATGTGCATTTTTCGTGAGGAGGTTGTTAAAGTAATCAGATTATACCTTGGGCCCTATGCATTTACGTGCATGACGTAAGGAAGAGCTTGTGAAAATAAATGTTATTTGGAAACATACAGACAGCATTGCTTTGAATGCTGTGATATGGTAGCCGGCTTCTGGCATGGTTCTTGACACTTCTTACTTCCTGTACTCAGGTTCTTGAACACCTACCTTTAGGAGGAGATATCAGTCCTTATGAATGGATTTCCGTCCTCATTAAAGAGGCCTAAGGGAGCCTACTTATCGCCCTTTCCACAAAGGTGTAGAAAGAAAGGACACCATTTACAGAGTATTGCAACCCAGTCGGGAAGTCAAACAACCTTTTCACAGGGGTCACCTAAGACCATCAGAAAACACAGCTATTGACATTACGATTCATAACAGTGGCACAATTAACAGTTAGGAAGTAGCAACAAAAATAATGTTATGGCTGGGGGTCACCACATGAGGAACTGTATTAAAGAGTTACTGCACCAGGAAGGTTGAGAACCGCTGATTTAGAGGCATGGGTTTGTCATTACATGTCAAATCCCCTAGTGCTGTGATAAGACTCTTGTTTATAAATTAGCTACTTCTAAGTAACCAGAATGGATCAAAACCAGTGTTTCTCCTGAGACTATGGTTTCTGCTTTGCCTTCTTAGATCCCATGTTCTGGGGGAAGTCAATCACTGTGTTATGAAGACACTCTAGCAGTGATGCAGACAGGTTTTCATGATGAGAAACTGAAGCCTCTTGCCCACAGCCATGGGAATTAGTCATGCCAAAAGAGCCTTGTGTTAGGGTCTGGTGGTGTACACCTACAATCCCAGCACTTGGGTACTGAAAAACCCAAAGCATTCCAGCACGTTTGCTAGCCAGCCTGGTCTTCATAAAGAGTTCCAAGGCAGCCAGGGCTACAGAGTGAGACCCTTTCTCAACCCCCTCACAGACCCCCTATAAAACCTCCTTGGACACAGTTAAGTCTTCAGATGACTGCAACTTCTAGAGGTCCTGAACCAGAGACATCGAATTATGGAGCCCCTAAATTCCTGCCCCATAGAGGCTGTGGTATTATTTATTGTTCTTTTAAGTTCCTAAGCTTCAAGGAACTTGTTCTATAGCCCTAAATAATTAACACAGAGGGACAGAAATGAAGAATAACAGTAAAGTCCCCTCAGAGTAGATCTGGACCTGTCCTAACCCCTCAAGTAGTGTAAGTACTGGGTTCATTCCTGGTTTTGGACATTGCTGACAATAATCTAGGGGTGCCACTGAGGATCGCAATGTGCCCTTTATCATTGCCCCTTTCTCTCGGATTTTAGGGAAGGATTAGGATGACACTAAGGACCAACACACATTTTGATTTTAGTCTTCAGGATCCCCTGGCCTGAAATCACTGAACTTTATCCATCTGCTGCAGGGCTTTGGGTCCTTGAAAGCACAGCTTGGACCTTGCTATTTCTAGCCCCATTCCATTTCCCAGCAACTAAACATACACGAACAGAGTTAACAGCAAGGAAGAGGACAAATTTCCCTCCATCCCAAATTCTGACGAAATTCTACTTTTAGGATGGTTCTATGGGGACCAGAGACATGGAAGTTAAGAATGGTCCCTTACTGGAGTCATTACACTGGCAGCGTATCAGTGAAGTCTTGACAATAACATGAAGCCATCAGACATTTTCACTGTTAAATAACCCCCACTCAACTATTAAGAACCTTTTCTTTCAGGAGCCATCCTCATTTGCTCTCTGGACCCATTTCCTCTCTGCAATGTGGCTTTTACTGTTGCTCAAGATCCCAGCATGCCTAATGACCAATGCTGCCGACATGCTTGTTTGGAATCAGTGTCAAGTGCCCTGGGCTGGAGCTAGGAGGGCTGAGTTGTGCACTGTGGCTACTGAGCAACTTAGATGGCATGGGGAGTGTTTTCTTCCCTTTCTGGACCTGCTTCTCTACCTCGAATTGAAAGCCGACCTACACGAGCTCTAAAGTCCTAAGGTTCTCATAAGTTAGGATTCTAAGGTAAAACCCAAAAGCGAAACCCAGCTGTCAGCATACCTCTGAGTTATGGTTACGGTGCAAGGTTCCTTCTCAGACTTTTCCATTGGTCAAGGACAGAGTCTCACTGAAAGGCTGTCAGGTTTATTGAAAAACCTCCTTTTCCCTTCTAATTAAAGAACATTTACTGATTGACTCTGTGTATGTGCGTGGAGCTCAGAGGACAACTTGTGGGAGGGTCTCCGGGATGAAATTCAGGTCCTCCTCGGGCTCAGAAGCAAGGACCTTAACCAGGCGAACCATTTCTCTGATCCAGCCTTACTCCAATCTCTGGTTTTCTGGTTCCACCTCAGTAACTTCTGACGGCTTTGGGGAAATTTTTCTCCAGGGCTATGGAGCAGAAAAGTCCCTGTTACTCAGAAGCAGCTCAAAGACCTGGGCAGTGACTCGGAGAACTTCCTCAAACTTCTGGCTCAACTCTCTGGGGCTGTTTGCTGGGCTCTGAAATGCTAGAAATTTAAAGCCGGTGTGAGGGTTGGGAGCAGCTCGCTGTGAGTTCTTAGAGGGACAGCCATACCAGGAGTAACACCTGGGAGCATCCCTGGGCGGGACTCAAGTGAATGAATGAATGAGAAAATGAATGAGGGAACCTCTTTTTCACCCTTCAATGCGCTCATGCTAGGGGGTTAACCACTAAGACCTAAAAATCCTCCGACACCCTCAAACTTTCAGCCCATCAGTCCGTCACCGTGTTACACCCCGTCCTTAACCAAACTCTCCAAACCTCTGAGACGCGAGGCATTTTTTAAAAAAAAAAACCAGTACAAAGTGAAAGAAGACGTAGACGACCCCTGCCCCTCCCAAGTCCCTTCTTCCTCCGCCCCCTAACGTGGGTGGCGGCGCAGTCGGCTCCAATTCGTTTCTCCGGGTTGGGGATCCACCCGGGGCGGGCCGGGCAACAAACCCTGAAGTTGGCCAGCACGTGTGCCGTGGGGTTAAGGGGCGTCTCGAGTTGGTGTCCCGGATCTAGCGCAGGTGAGGCCACGTCTCTCTCTCTCTCCCCACACCCTCCAGCATCTCGGGGCTGGCGCACGCTAGTTTCACACCGGCGGGGCCGCCCGGGTGGGCTGGTGCGAGGTGCAGGGCGGGCTGTCCCACAGCCACTCCAGACCACCTGTAGGGCGCGTGTGTCAACTCCTTTGTCCTCAGGGCCACTCCGACCGGGGCCCCTCTAAGCAAGGCGCTTGCTTCCCTCTGGATGCTTACGGGCCTTCCTCGCAGGTCTCCAGCCCCCCTTCCCGGCCCTCCTCCTCCTCCCTTCCCCAACCCCAAGGTAGCAGCGCCCGGCGCCCCGGGCTCGAAGCGAGCCGCCTCCTCACTTCTCATTGGCTGAGAGCGTCGGGGGGGGCGGGGAAAGCAGTCACGTGGCCGCGCGCCGGGCCAGCTCCGGGGCCGCCATCTTGGCGGAAAGTTTAGGGGGAGAGCGACTGGGGGCGCGGAAGGAGGCGAGGTCCCGGGGGTGGGGCGGCCCGGAGGCGAGCGGGCGAGCAGGGGCGGCGGCGAGCGGGCGGCGGCGGCGGCCAAGGCGGCGGAGGCGGAGAGAGCGGCGCGTGTGTGGGGGGGGGGTGCGGCAGCCGAGGGGAGCTCCTCCCCCCTCGTCCCCTCACCCCCTCCGCTGAGCTCGAGCCGGGGCGGGGCGGGGTACGTGGAGCGGGGCCGGGCCGAGCGCACCGGGGCGCCCGCGCTCGCCGCTCGCGGCAACTTGGCGGCGGCGGCGGCGGCGGCGGCGGCGCCGCAGGTGTGGGGGGCCGCGGAGAGGTGCATGAGCGGCGCGAGGGCGGCGGCGGCGGCGGCGGCGGCGGCGGCGGTCCGGGCCGGCCCCTGCTGGAGTCGCCGGGAGGAGGCGAGCGAGGAGCCCAGGCAAGCTAGGAGAGGAGGGGGCCCGAGCGGGGCGGGGGAGCAGCCGGGCGCTCGACGGGGCGCTGCGCGGCTCGCTCGGCTGCTGGCGGGCCGGCGGCGGCGGCGGCGGCGGCAGCAGCAGGTGGGGAGCGTGGCGAGCACGGCGCGGTGCCGGGGGCCCCGCTCCTCGCCTTCAGGTGCGCTTTGCGGAGGGGAGAAGCTTCGCAGGGACGTTCCGAAGCAAGCGGGCTTGGGTCTGCTCTTGATTTCGTGGGGAGGAGACTCTGAGCCCCGGGAAGCACGCAGCTTGCTGCGTGGGCTGCCACTCCTGGGCTTTAAGTAAAAGCTCTGGCTTTTCACTTGGGGAAAACTTTGGGAGGTGAGCACTTACACCAAGGTTGGAGTGTTTCCTAGTCGAAAGTTGGGGGTGTTTTTTGGCGGGGTGGGGGGCGTTACTATTGGATCCACGATTCTATTTGCTTTAGTTCAAGTTTTCCTTCCTGTTTTGTGTTTTGAAAGGTGTGTGTGCCTTCTTCCTGATTCTGGAGAAAAATGCCGGTCCGGAAGCAAGGTGAGAATTTAGTTTGAAGCTGTTTTGTGGCTGTCACTCGCTGTAACGTCTACCAGTGTTGTGATGACTGTTTTTAAAAGGTTTGTGTAAGCCGGGCGGTGGTGGCGCACGCCTTTAATCCCAGCACTCGGGAGGCAGAGCCAGGCGGATCTCTGTGAGTTCGAGGCCAGCCTGGGCTACCAAGTGAGTTCCAGGAAAGGCGCAAAGCTACACAGAGAAACCCTGTCTCGAAAAACCAAAAATAAAAAAAAATAAAAAAATAAAAGGTTTGTGTAACTGATGTATGGGCAGTCTCACCTTTATTGCCTATGGTATCCAAGCGTCACATCATTTCAGAAGGTGGAAACAGAAGTTCGTTCAACTCACCTTCTTGACATCTCCGGTGGTTACAGAAGCAATCAGTACCCTACCATGTCTTTTTAAAAACTTTGTTGCTTCAGAATTTCACTTTATCATTCTTACTCAATACTATTTTGTGAGCAACTGGGGGATATTAAGGACTGACGCTTAGAAACGCTTAAAATTTGGGTTAAAGCGACAAATTGTAATTTGTTCTTGTCTATTAAGCAGTGTAAAACTAAGTTGCTCAGTCCACAGTTACCACAGACTGCTCATCTTTCTCTCCTGTGATATAAAAGCCTTTACAATATTTGTGTTAGTAGGGAAAAGGAACATGAATGGAGTGACAATAGTGGTTGACTTGGAGGGACTTTGAGGGAACCCCTCAGATGTAGATGGAGCACATGCTACTTTCTTGTAAATATGTATGCGGATGCACACAGACAAAATACATCTGTGAAATTTTAACCATACTTGTCTTTTCAGATACCCAGAGAGCGTTGCATCTGTTGGAAGAATATCGATCGAAACTAAGCCAGACTGAAGATAGACAGCTCAGAAGTTCCATAGAGCGGGTTATTAACATATTCCAGAGCAACCTCTTTCAAGCTTTAATAGGTGGGAGTTAAAACTTTTTATGTTTGTGACCACTGCACTAATGCATGATGCTTCTCTGTTAGTTTAAACTTAGAATGGTGATGTATGTGGTTCTCTGTGGGACAGTCATTAGCTTAGCACATCTTCAGTTAGTGTGGTTTTTCAGTTAGGTCACTGTCCTTTCTAAAAATGTTTACTAGCCAGAAAAACTTAGCAGTGTGATTACTTCTGTGCACTTTGAGAACTGTATTTCATGTCTTAGTGTTAGCTATTAAAATATGGACAAGTTGCAGAAATGTGTTAATGACTGAACTACTCTTGGTGTGTTTCCATATTTGACTTGTATTTCTCTGGACTCCTTGGAAATGTGTGGAGGGTTCTGCTGTATCTGAGAGCTCTCATCACTTCAGTGGACATCTCTGTTAAACGAGGCATTTGTGCAGTATGAATTTTAGATCTGGAAAGCAGTCTCAGAGATGGACTTGTCTAGTAATTACCTTATTCTACAGACGATATTGTAACAGTCTTGTTCTTTCCTGTATCTTATATATGAGATAGTTCATTGATTTAAAGAACGGGGCAAATAGTCTGAAGTTCGGAATTTAGTTCCTGACACTGTCAGTGATTGCATATCAGAAAACTCACGTAGCTGTTTTAGGCTGCTGATTAACTGTGGACTGTGGGTGGTGAACTGAAGCAGTGGGTTTTTGATACCTTAGAAAGCAGGTAAGGCCTTTTTAAAAATGGAATCTTTTGTTTTCCATACCATCCCCAATATAAGAAACAAGTTGATCTGTCTCTGACACCTTGCTTTATGTACTTTACAAATTTGCAAACTGCTATACCAGGGTCTTTATTGCTTCCAGGTTAAAGAGCAAGATTTAAAAAAAAAAATACCAGCTGTATAACATGTTCAAATAAGACATGGCCTTTCTCACATTGTGTTTGTTTTCCCAGTAACTTTCCAGCAGATAGGCCTAATGTATGTGTGTGTTGATGGATAATTATTGGTGTAATTAGAACACTATTTTCAATGCATGCCTTACTGTTGTGTTGATGTTCTTTACTGAATTTTAGAATGAAAGGTATTTGTAAGACACTCGATAGACCTTAGAACTTTTTAAAATTTAGTGTTACTACAGACTTAAAAACATGCATTAAAGATAGATGGTGAACGGCCATTTATCTGTCACCTATCTTCAGAAATTATCAGACTTTTGATAATGCTATAGTAGACACTTTGGCATTTGTATTTCTAAGCCATGACAGTTTAAGGTTCAAATGAACCATCAATTGGTTCCTTGGAGGATGAAAAAAAAAACAGCAAATGAGGAAGAGAAAAATAATTTTTTAGATGATTTTTCTAGATCAACATTAAACCTAGAAATTTTTATATAGTAGGGACACTTTAGAGAAAAACGGCACGACTTGTTTGTCCTCATTTATATATGTATATGTATATGTAGTCTGTAGTCTTATTTATATATGTCTACATGTATATGTAGACTGTAGTCTTACTGTGTGGGAAAGCTGTTACTTAAGAGAACTGAGTGGTCAGTAAAGTAAATAGAATCGACCCTTCCATATTGTGATTGGACTTGTTAGGTTTTGAGGCAGTTGTTGCATATTCTTCCTTGCCTGCTTTGAGTGTTCGTTCATATGCATAATTGAATTTTGATTACTTTCTATTTACGTTTGTACTAGAGAATTTTATTTGTCTTCATAATTTTGTTATTTAATGACCTTACTTTGTTATTTGGCTTATTTGTATTTTAATGTCTAATAGTTAATGTGTCGTTGGAAGATTTTTCTGGGTCCCGCCAAGCCCCCGCAGTCCCTCAGCCAGCTTATAAAATAATCACACAGAGGCTTAATATTAAATACAACTGCTTGGCCATTTGCTCAGGCTTATTACTGACCAGCTCTTGCACTTAAATTAACCCTTTTTTCAGTTCTGCCTTCACATCTTGCTTCCTCTGTGTCTGGCTGGCCACTCCCAACTCAGCTGTCCTCTTCCCAGAATTCTCATCTGCTTATCCTGCCTATACTTCCTGCCAGGCTACTGGCCAATCAGCATTTTATTTACCAACCAATCAGAGCAACACACATTCACAGCATACAGAACAACATTTCACAGCAGTTATGTGCTATCAGATTTTAGTGGAACAAAAGTAACAGATTTTAGACATTTTGAAATAGATGTTTTGGTAGTGGTTTTTGTGTATTTGTGTATTATAATTGAGTTGATGATTCTACTGCACTGATATATTCATTCTTTGGCACATATTATAATTTTAGCACTTGATGATGAGGCAGGAGGATCAGGAATTCCAGGCCAACCTGGGCTAAATAGTGAGTTTAAGTAGAGTCTGAGCTAAAAAGTGAACAAACAAAAAACAATACCATAAAACACGTTTGCTTCTCATTCTGAAACTTTTTAAGCTGTTAGGATTTTTTTCTTTGCATCTTCGCTGTTTTTTTGAAGTAGTATTGCAGTGTACTTTCAGCTGGTAAATGGCCCTATGTCTAAGTTCCTAACAACTGTGGATTGACTGCTTTCCATTCAGTGATAGCACTTTTATTTCCTGAGCTGGTGCATGTGGGTTTATATCTAGATTTAAAGGAAACA